CACCGCGCAGGAATTGGCTGATGCTGTCCCCGCCGTCTATCTCCCCTCAGGAAGCACCGTTTACAGAGCGGAATTCACAGATGCCAGTGGGATGAACAGTTCTCCCAGATATCCAACTGTCGCTCATCACTCAAGTAAAAGAAGGGGGGTTGTACTTGCAGTGCATCGGTATAGATGGGAAAGCGAGAGCTGACCGCTATTCCGCCCTCGTGTTTCGAAATCTTGTGACTTTTGAAATTTTCTGGGGGTGGACCACATCGGTCCAGAGGCAAAAGTGCCTTGCCTTGCATTCTCCGAGAAACCATTAGTAGCATGGTGAATCGGAGATTCTCAACACTTACTCCGTGCGACTGGAAAATAATTTGTGATCGGATCAACGAAATGCTTCATAGAAGGAGGCACTCTTTTCCTCTAGTCTAACAGTCTGTCCACAAACAAAACATTCCTGTTAAACAAGAGGAATGTAAAAAAAACAATTACTTTTTGACAATGAAAACCGGCATGTGTGTGTCTCTCTCTCTCTCTCTCTCTCTCTGCTGGATGTGTCTCTCTCTCTGTGCTGAATGAATAAAAGCATTTTATTAAAAAAGTGATTGCGTTTGTCTGGGTATTTACTTTGTAATCTGTGGTCCTTTTAACTGTTTTTACATCTACTATATTACTTTGAGATGCCACTTTTAAAGGTGATATATAAAATAAAGTTTTTTATTAATGCTATAGAGAAACATGATCAGATTTTCCCTGGTTCAGAAAAAAAAGATCTAAAGTATACTTGTTTGTCACTCTTCTCATTCCCTCTTTGCTAAATTAATTTTCATACTAATCTGATCAATCTATCAGCCTATTTTCTGTGCTTTCTCTATCCTGCTAGATATGAAATTATTCTGAAAATTTTCTTCTTGAAATAACTCATTTCTAATTTCCTGTTTTCACTGTTAACATCTTGCAGCAACTCTGTGACAAAATATACACTTAGCTTAACCTGACAGTTCATCCTGATACCAACATTGAATAAAAAAATCCTAAGATTTCTATATTTATGTCTTTATTTAGTGGTTTCAATAGTGACAAAGGCTAAACTTTCTTGGGAAAATGTATTTTATGTAAACCGTGTTTGCTATTAATTCATTTAGGGCTCACTGACAGAATTGCTGTTTTTTAGGCATGCCAAAAAATTTCGGTGCCGTCGTCTCCACTTTAAAGGTACCCCCGTGCTGGAAAAATTTGACCTCAGAACGTTTGCCCAGCGTACTAATATAGGCACATCCCAGAATTTTGACTTCACTGTGTTATGAAGAAATTTTAAAGACTACTTCTTAGCATAGATTAAAAAGCTTGGATTCCCATGGACAGTATCTTATACACATATCTTTTTCTGTTGTCTTTGTTGATCTCTTGAGGATCCTTGTGATATTTTGAATGATAAAAGTGTGGCAGTTTAAATAATTTTCGTTGTTAGAAATTATGAAATGCTCTGTTAAAAGCAAGGGAGTTTTTATATCTGTTATAGTAAAAGAAAATGCCTGATGAACTAGGGATTGAACAGTTTTTCAGTGCTTGTACAATCAATGGAAATGTTCAAATAAATGTGCTAAAGAAATAAACAAAAAAGTAAGTTATTTGTTGCTTTGGCAATACAGATTGTACCCATCGGTCAAGCTAATAAAGCACCTTGAATTGAATTGAGAGGGGGGGCGAGTGAGCGAACGAGCGAGAGAGAGAGAGAAACACCCAGGGGTGCAGAACTAGGGAACTATTTACATATTAAAACTATTTCCCAAATTTAATATGTGCTTTTCTATATTTATTGTCAATTAATTGTCCATAATATTGCTACTCTATCTTTTTAAATAAATGTTTGTTAAAAGAAAAGTCACTGCACCAGCTGGATTTGAACACACAACCTTTGGTTTATAAGTCAGGAATGTAGAGCACAGTACCACCAGCAAGGTCACGTGAGAAGTGGTGAAACAGCCCTACTCATACAGAATCAACAAACATTGTACAGCGTGTACTACTGTGTTGCAGTATATGAGTATAATTATATTGTTATTAATTTATTTAGATACGCGATTCCATATTATATTAGCAGAAAAGCTTAAAACTACCACTTTTTATACACGCTATTTCACATGATAGTTAAAGACTTCGATGCTTAAAATGTTTAGGGAGAAATGGAATACTGGTGTGTATTTTTTCTTTAAAGTACTGTTTCCTGGAATCTGACTGGCTGACACCCTTCTGAAGTGATACCATAATCTCTTATACGGAAAAGAAAGCGTAGATAAAAAAGCTTGGATTCTCATGTATCTGATATAAGTATCTTTTAATACAGTCTTTGCTGTGCTTTTGAGGATCCTTGTGATATTTTGAGCTCTGGTTGAATGATAAGTGTCACAGTTTAAATAATTTTCGTTGTTAGAAATTATGAAACACTCTATTAAAAGTGAGAGAGTTTTTATGTCCGTTACAGTAAAAGAAAATGCCTGACAAAGTAGGGCTTGGACAGATTCCAAGTGCTTGTACAAATGTGCTTAGGAAATTAGCAAAAAAATTCATTTATTTCTTTATCATATTGGCTAGCTAATATCCTGTCCTTGTTAGTTAGATCAACGAAATGCTGTGGTGTTTGTCAAAGAAAACAATAAAAGTATTTTCGTTTAAAATGACGGTTAGAAAGAATGTGGACCAGCGTAATACTTTGAGTTTACAGCTTGTCCAAAATCATTCATTATTAATACCATTAGTAATATCTTCGGTAAAAGTTTTGATGCATAAAATATTTCTCCATAATTAAAATATTTATGATAAAGGTAGGTTGTGTACTTTTGTCCAACAGAGCAATCTTGCTTTCATAAAATATACCAACTTTTTAATGACTGATGATTAACATGCTGTAATACACAGTTTAAATTTAAAAGCTCAAATGCTGTACATGAGAGGTTAAGCTTTATTGGCTCCTACTGGCGGTTTTACAAGGTGATTCCGGATACTTTCCGGTATGACGTCAAATGACGCGTTACACCGCATGATACTGCTTGAAACTGTATTTTGATGCGACAGGCCCACCACGGTGTACCGCGAAATACCCCACGCATTTTGAATGGCTGCATCTGTATGTAGGAAGAAAAGTTTTCATTATGACAATATTAAAACTGTAACTGTTTAGTAATGCTGTCCGCCCAGAGGCATTACTGGTAAAACACATGTGTATGACTTGCAATATTGGGTGATAAATAATAGATTCACAATTATATTTGCCATTGTAATAACAGATGTGGTTTCTTTTTCCATTTAAAATAAAGATAATATAGATTAATTACAACATAAAACAAAATTTTATAATTACTGTATATGCATATTAATAATTGTAAATAGTGTATAGTGCTTTTAAAACCAGTATATTTATCATTGTTACATTGTAATAAATCACATTATGTTCATTGCAGTTCAACCAATTGTCTGTCGCCAGTACAGTATATGATCAGTGCATGTAAGCATAAACATTAACAACTAATAAAAAAATAATTTTGTTTTACAACACACAGCTGCAGTGTACTATTAAGTCAACAATTTCAACATTATTCCACCTGTAGCATCTTTGTAAAAATGATTAAATCTCACTCTACACCACTTTCTCAAAAGGCAAAAGTAGATGCAACATAATTTTAGCAACCTCATTCATGATGTGATTAAGAAAAACACAAGTTAACTTTCTGAATAAAAATAGTTTAAATGAAAAAATAGTTCTCTTAATTTTAAATAAATAAAGGAAAATGGAGGGGAATTTAAGAGACAGAATGCAAATAAGACAGTAATCTCCCTTCTGTCTGGAAGAAACCAGGTGAAGAGCTCTGGATAAGAGGATTTTTCGGATTGATAAGATTAAAGCAAACTGATACGCAATGTCCACTTGCCTGAAGCAAAATAATTAGAACAACATCATAATTATAAGACCCATTTCCTTATGAAACCTGTTTTCCAAGCATTGGATGCTTTGCATTCTTGAAATGGAATGTTTAAATTTGTAGCTCAAAGCTGTTACAGTAGGTGTAAAACAGTACAACGTGGTTCATTGAAGAATAATTGTGTTTTTAAAGTGTGAGGCTTTTTGTGAGTAAGTTCCTGTACAGAGCATAGAACTTCCAAGTACAATGAGGTGGCCCCATTTTCTCTTATAGTTTCTCATTAAAATAGGAAAACAATTGATAATTAATTGCACTTTTAAGTAAAACAAACCTTGGTCACTTTTAAAGATATCATAGATTTTCACCTGATAGCACCAAATCAGTGGTTCCCAACATCAGTTCTAGAGGGACACGATTTCTGCTGGTTTTATTTCAACTGAGTTCATTATCGCTAGTCGTAATTGGTAACTCTTGATCTTCTTACTTAAGTAGTTTATTTTTTTGTGTAAATAGTCAGAATGTAGTAGTCAAAACAATGTCATTTCTCCCTTTTCCAGAAGTTCAGTTGGTTATATTTCAGGGAATACACGATAACCGCACTGAAGCTCAGAAGCAGGGATAGCTGCTTATCCCACTTACAAGCAGAAGCAGGTCTTATCTCTGTTTTAATCTCATTAAAACAAATAAAATATATGTTTCAGATGCAAAACTAAAATCATTTAATTAAGGATTACAAAGGTGGCTGGAACAAAAACTCAATTGTTCCACAAGATAGCATTGCTAATCAAGACCAGGGTTTGTGAAATTCTGATCGAGTATGAATATTAAAAAGTTGTATGCAAATTAAAAATAAATAAACTCACAGTTTCTGTAAAGACCTGAAACATATTCCAAATATCTCCAGTGTGATTGAACAATACCTTCCTATAGTCTTCCGTACAGTATATTGTGAAAACCCTTTAATATGAGGACATCAGTACATGTTTGGTCTTTGTCTTCACCAATCAGAAGAGGTTGGGTGTTTCCCCAGCGCTGCTTCTAACAGGTATTTAGTGTAACAGTGAGCTCCTTCATTGTCTCAAATTCTGAGAGCTGGAGGCTCTGGAAAGCTACCATCAGGTCAGAGGATTTGCTAAGATGATCAAACTCTGGGTGGCACTGGGGCTTCTTTGGAAATCGTGTAAGTAAAAAAAACCTTCTTTCTCATTTGTCTATAATCAGTGTTTTTTTTTACTTCAGCTTAATATCATAAACAATTTTTTAAGGGTAATACATTGTATATTTCACATTGTGCAGCTTTTTACACTTCAGATTATGGGACCATAAATTACCCTGAATTACCAAATACAGTACCTTAATCATGATAATTATCATTATTTAAAGGTTTTGTTCTATCCTGAGCAGGTTTGTGTTCTTAGATCCATATTTCTCTTGACCTAACTTGGGAAGGCTGATAGCTAACCATTAATATATTTGTTTTTCCAGATGTAGCCCCAGAATATGTCATCACTCAGCCCTGTCTCTCAGTGTCCGCACAGCTCGGAGACTCTGTTACTCTGGAATGCTATGTATCTGCTAAAAGTGTAACTCGAGTGTGGTTGAAACAGTCAGTGGGACAGTCACCTAGAGTCATTGTAACATCATATTATAATGATGAAAACTTTCATGGAGAATTTAAAAATAATTCAAAATACAGTGTTCAAAAACATAACAAATCATTTCACATCAAGTTAACAGTTACCAGTTCTTCAGATGCTGGAATGTACTATTGTGGAATAATCTTGATAAATTATATTCAGTTTGCAAATGGAACATTCCTGGCAATCAAAGGTAAACTTCATCGTAATGCTCCGCATTGACATTTTTGAGCAATGTTTTCATTCTTTAAATGTTTTGTTTTTTTAATACACTTAAATAACTGCAACACATAGAATATGAACAATCACAAGCCCTAGCATAAAAGTCATGATACAGCTCACATGCCATCTAACTATTCAGGATCATGAGAAAATATATATTTTTTTTTAGTTTTGTCAATTTAAAAATATTAAAGTCTTTGATCAATGGCTTTGTAATAATATCTCATGGTAGGTTGTAAAATCAATGTGATATAATTTTAATTGTGCAAGAAGCTAAAGTATTCTGAATGCAACTTGCATGTGATATAGTAAAGCAAAATGTAATTTCTTGTAATTAGCAAAACAGTGTTGTACTCATAATTTTATTACTTGAAACAAATCACCTTCTAATTTAGATAGGAAAAACACACACTACATATAATTTGCAGATATATAGTTGCAGATTATTTTATATTTTTAGTAGTTCAAATTCATGATACAGTACTGTCTCAATGTCTTTTTCTTAATTAATACAGTGACAAATCCGGCTATTAGATACTGCTTGATTGGCTGTGCTGGTGGTGAAATATTATATTTTTAATTAAAAAATGATCAAATCTGATATTTGTTGTCATAGTCCCTATAACATATTATTGTTAGATAAAAATATCAGTATGATACAGTATGAGCATGATTTTCATGTTGCTATGTAAAGTAATAGCACAATAAAAATTGGCACTGTAAAATAAAAATAAAAAAAATATTTTAAAGGATTTCAGTCTTTGTTTAAACAGAAGTACAACTAAACTATATTTTGCTACTAAGGTTTTCTTTAAGACAGACAGAGGTACAGCCAAATTATGTTTTGGCACTAAATTACTTTGTCACCATAGTGAAATGCTTTTCTGTTTGTAAAATCCTATATAACTAGCCCTATTTTCAAATTTGTATAGGTAGTTACACTCTTTTTATCTTCCATACTGGTTTTATTTTGGAAAATAAAAAAAATGCTAAATATATGTCTGACAATAGTGTTTCACCCCAAATAACATTCATACTTGTATTAGTTGTTAAACCATGTACAATCACTATGCACCCACACAGCCAGCATTATGATATCCAAAAAGAATGCTCAATAGACTGTTTTACTACAAATAGTAGAGTCCTTCTTAACTATGAGGGATCATACTGTATATGTATTGTATGTTAACTAATACAACACTTTGAACTCATAATGTACATAATGTTAGGGATTATCATTGTTTAGATTTCCTTTGTGTTCATAAGCACAGCTTTTCTTAAAAGTAACAAAAGACCTTTGGCATTGTAAAAATAAAATTAGAATTAGAGTAGATCAATTACACTTATAAGTGTAAAAACAATAAAATTTCATTATATAAAGTTGTCACCAGCTAAACAAATGATTGGCACAAATCTAGAACTAAAAAATATTTGTACTTCACTATTGCACAATGGGGTTAGGGCAACACTGTTATTTATCACTGGGACAGCAACAATAAATAAATATAATGTGTAAAATGGGCTACCTCATTGATAACATTTCTATTGTTCTGTTGTTTGGAAAAACTGAGAAATCTAATAAGATTAAATGCTTAAAGTAAATACGTATATCCTACATGTGAACTAACTACAGAATAGATAAGAAAAGCACTTTAAATAGCCATGCATAAAACTTGCTTAGTTTTAAAACTGACAAAACATTCTGACACAAACGTGTCCTCTTCTTTCAGAATTAGAGTCAATGAGCAGGAGTGTTGTACAGCAGCCTGTGTCTGTCCCAGTCCATCCAGGAGATGATGTGACTCTGCAGTGTATAACACACACAGAGACCTGTGCAGGAGGGCACAATATTTATTGGTTTAGACGTGGCTCAGGAGAATCCCTTCCAGGCATAATTTACACACATAGAAACTGGAGTAACAAGTGTAATGGGAGTTTTGATGCTGGATCTCCTACACAGAGTTGTGTCTATAACCTCCCTAAGAGGAACCTCAGCTCCTCTGATGCTGGGACTTACTACTGTGCTGTGGCCATATGTGGAGAGATCCTGTTTGGGAACGGTACACTCCTGGAGATTACAGGTAATGATTCTTATTGTCTTTGTACTTCCTTAAAATTACATCAATAAAGTATTGATATAGCCACTAGTGCCAGCAATAGAGTATATTGAGTTTGGATATTTTCCCCGTTTCTGTTGTTTTTTCTTGGTGCTTTGATTTCCTCCCACAGTCTGAAAAAACATACACGTAGGTTAAATGGTTTCTAAGAAAATTGGCCCTGGTGCATGTGTGTGTGCATTTATGTTTATGTCTGTCCAGTCTGTGATGGCAAGGTTTCTATCCCTGTCAATCCTGGGTTTATCCTGAGCTTAGCCCTGCAAGCAACAGGGACAAGGCAGGGATAAGCTCCGGCTCCCCCACAATCCTGAAATGGAAGAAGCAAAGTATAAAAAATGGATGGGTGGATATTCTTGTTTATAGGACATATTTGTAGAAATGCACATGATGGTCTTGTTAATGTTTTTTACAGTTGTTTTAAATTTAAAATCAATTACACAATACATGTTTTCATATTTTATCTCTAGTCTTAATGTCATGTATCTTATCAAGGTGAGCTTGATCCTGTTGTTCTGGTTTTGGGGACGACAAATGCGGTGTGTGTGATTGTCATTGCTGTCCTCATCTGCACCAGAAACACACATTGTGCAGGTGAGTTGGCTACATGCAACATTTCAAATATACAAGTACAATTACTGTGTTATTCATTACCTCCTTACCAAATATTATCAATATCAAATAAAAAAAATAATTTTATATAAGAATTTGACAGCTGAGACTACCCTTATAAATACTGAATATTTTTTATGACTAAAGGTTTATATAATTAGTTCATATATCCTCAAAGGAAAACCTGAACTACAAGGACAAGAAAAAAAAAAACACTGTTAAAATTATGTCACGGTGTTTAACAATCATTTAAGGAACTAATTAAAAGAAATTATATTTCTTGTGTATTGAGTAAAGCTAGAAAACAAAATCATGAAAATAATAGTACCAGTTAAAATACTGTAATTAAGCCCATCCAATATCACTCAAACAAGGTGTTATCTAAAACAGCATACCATTTCATACTGTATGTGATTGTGTCCATGTTCTCTCATCAATTAAACTACATTTTGCAGAATTTTAAAGAAAAGGCACAATTAACTTCACATGTTGGAAATTTTATTTTCAGCCCCATGTCTATCCCTTTCTTTATCATGACATATCAAAAAGGTGCTTCTTGAGAAATTTGATACAGAGGAAATTTGACACAATTCATGGCACACATTTAGTTTGGCTTGAACAAAGGATCTGAAGTAAATTTATTATGCACTTGGGCTACCCCTCATCTTGTGTCTAATATCCTACTAAATGCTTCATCAAAGCACAGAAAGTAGTTTCAAGTTAGCTCACTTATAATAGTGACATTGTAGTGCTCTTTTCACCTTGAGATTAAACCTAATTTTAAACCTCAACACCAACCACTAAAGAATTAGAAGTAAATTCTTAAAATTTCTGTCTTCATCTCTCTTTTCATGTTTCACAGGAAACGTAAAAGGCACCACTAAATCCATACATGTCCAGGTAATGCAAAGACCTCGAGATTCAGCAGCTTTGGAGTTTTGATTTGGTGCACAGGAATACATTTTAAACAAATTATAAGCCATTTTACTTTGTTTATTGTTTGCTAATAGTCAACAAAAAATACCTCACTCAATCATATGAAACATAAATGGATCTTTATTTGGTAAACTGCAAAGTATTTTAATTGTACTGATAAATGAAGTAGTAGATAGGATAAGCAGAAAAATAAGATTTTTTAAACCTTTTTTTACTTTCAATATTAGCTTCAGTTGTCAGGTTCTCAATATATTCAAAGATATTCTTTTATAACTCAGTTTGTTCTTTTGTTCATGGCACAGAGTTACTATTATATAGATTTTGGTTCAGTAAAGTATTAAAACAAACTAAAAACACTTTTACTTTCTTCAGAATGAGGACACAGATATGCTGAATTATGCTGCCCTGAGCTTCACTCAAACCAAAACCAAGACAAGAAGAAAAAGCAGAGAGATGGACAGTCTAGCTGTATACTCACAAGTCAAAAGAGTGACTGAAGAATGATGTCAGGCATCAAACCCAAGAATGAACATTCCAAACATTTTGACAGTTTTAAAGACTTCTTCTAATGAAAAAAGTCTTCTGAAAAATGATTTCACATGCTTTCATTCAAACCGTTTTTCTATATCTCAACATGCTACTAAAAGAGATACAGTAAGAGATAATCTCTTGCAGTAAATGCCCATCCATCTACATTGGAGAAACAGGAAGGAGACTCGGAGACCGCTTCAGAGAATACATCAGGGCTGTGAAGATTAAAGATCTCTCCAAGCCCATTGTTTCTTATTTCACCTCTGACGGCCACGACCACTCTAATCTCTCCATCTGTGTTCTCAAAGACAGTTTTCTGAACTCATACATCATAAAGACTACCAAAACCAAAATTATCCAGCAGCTAGGATCACACCTTCCCCCTTCTCTTAACGACAGACTACTCTTCTTCTAAATTTTCTTCATTCATTGGAAGTTTCATTTCACACCTCTCTACACCTATTCTGAATTCACACCTCTTGATTGGCCTCTCTTTCTGTCCCCTGCTCCCACCTCTCACTCCTCCTCCCTCCCAGTCTTTGTTCTCCCGCTACTTTGCCTTTGCCTATTGCCTTGTCTCTCTCACACCTGAAGAAGGCTCCACAGCCGAAATGTGTTTTCTTTCTTCTTTTTTTTCAGTATGGAATAAACCTATTACCTGTTCCTTTGCAGCCTACGCATGCTGACACAGCTACCCACCTGAACTAATTATATTCATGTACTGTAACAGAAACAGTAGTATATACTGTACACATACAGTATCTACTGATATGTGTACAGCTCTTTCACCGGCTGTAATGTGACTGTGCTAGTGGCGTGATGGCTTAAGTGCTTGACTTATAAGCAAGAGATTGGCTGTTCAAGTCCAGCTAATGCCACAAGTCTTCTTTTATGTAGGCTCTGAACAGGTTCAACTATCTTTTGGGCTGGATTGGGGTCGTTTGGGCTGAAATCCTGCTTGAATCCTGCTAAACTAAAAATTAAACACGAGAAGAGAAGAGGCTCTGGTGACATTTCTCTGTGAACTGAAAAGTGTAAAGTGTCTCCTCCTTTAAACGGGAAGAGATGTGGTGCTTTAAACAAGAGAGTGTGGCGTTACTTTTTGTCAATGAAAAAGTGTGTGTGTTTTTTTTTTACTCCCTGGCGGAAACAGGCTTCCATAAGAATCAAGTAGTACAGATGCAGCCATTCAAAATGCAAGGTACAAACCCGTACCGCACGCAATTACCCACAAGCCACCGCAGTGCAACGCAGTAAGTGATTGGCTGGCCAAAATGACCGACAGGGGCACTCGTGGTGCATTGGTCGGTAGTGAAAAGATTTAATCATTTAATCACTTTATTGTGCACATTTTAATCAACTTAGTATTGAATATTTATATGAAATTTTACAACTAAAGGGAAACTTTAGTAGCTGAGCATAAAAAGAAGAGGAACATAATGCATCTGAAGGTCATAAACGATATTAATTTAGGAACATATTACTGTCTGTAAACTGTACTATGTATGGCTGGTCTTGGAAGTTTAAAAATACACACCAGTCTTCCATTTCTCCCTAAACATTTTAAGCATCACAGTTTTATGAAACGGTACCCAGATATGTGATTGCTGTATAGAATGAATTTTAATTTAAAAAAATAATTTAACACGAAAATTAAGCTGTTTACATCTTCCGCCTGAGAATATAGTCACCTGTTGGTACCCAACGCAGAAACACAGCCACTAACTAGCAAAGAGAGGACATTAGCTAGCCAATATGATAAATAAATAAATATTTTGTTTATTTCTTTTGCACATTTATTTGAACATTTCCATTGATTGTACAAGCACTTGGAAACTGTCCAGTCCCTAGTTCATCAGGGATTTTCTTTTACGCTGCGGGCATTCTCCTGGTCTGGAACCGGTCTGTGTCTTCTAGGATATAATGCTATCGATTTTTTGTTAAATTTGGGTTTCCAATAACGCCACAGCAAACTCTTGTTTTTATGTCCACTATAACAGACAATCTCCCTTGCTTTTAACCGAGCGTTCCATAAAATGATTAACTTTATTTCCCTCACAGGATCAATAAAGTATCTATCATCTATCTAAACTATGGGGCAGAATTCTGGGGTCTCCCTATACCAGATATTATGGTAGGGCTTCAGAATGGTGATTGGCTGACACCATCTGACACCCCTCTGATTGGTGAAAAAAATACGTGCTGATCTGCTCTACACACCAGGAAGTCAACAACATATGTTGTTTCTATTCGAAATGCGTATTTTAAAAGTTTAATTAAGAAGTTAAAGCCTTACAGCGTACACAGATTTCTGAACTGATCCGGAGGATGAAAAATCACCCGTGTTTTGTGCATAAAAAGTGGTTATTAACTATTGAAACCTGTTTTATTTATTTTACTTTTATTTAGATTAAGAGTTCCCATCACCTCCATTTCCATTTAAATCGCAAACCCGTGTTTAATAAAATGTCTGTTAACGTAAATAGTTATCTTTGTCTTCTGCATAATAATGTTCACCACTGTCCAGCAAATTAATAATAAACTTTATTTTATATAGCGTATTAAACGAATAAGTAATTAGATTGCTCATAAACCTAATCACTTATTCTACATAAACACAGCGTAATTGCTCTCTGAAAATTCCCTTTTTCTTTTTATTTAGGCTCAGATTTCAACTATAGATCGTACAATAATCACTAGCAGTAAATACTGATGTTTTGCTCCCTCTTACCACAAAAAATACTAAAAATAATGTATTGTAGCTGGGATGAACTTTTTTTCGAACGTGTCTCTACCTACCGGGACTCGGACATGGAATGGTTAAAGATGGCAACAACTCAGGCACCCAGAGATGGGGGGGGCGTCTTTCCGCCTCCATAACTAAAATGCCAAATGGGAGTAGTTTTTAATTCAGTTTGAAGTATAACTGTATGTACTATCTTCGTATTTAGCCAGGGCCTTAAAGAGAGGGCGCGCCAAAAATTTTCGGTGCCATCGTCTGCGCTTTAAAAGTACCCCTGTCGCGGAAGAATTTGACCTCGGAACGTTTACCCAGCCTCATTATTGTATTTCATTGCACTTTGACAGATTGTCTTTAAATCAATTGTTGTCAGAATATCCCCACCTCCAAACAAGAACAAAATTGCAATTATTTTTTTAACTGGCTGTTTCAGTTACCTAAAGTATTTATTTAAAGTAATAATTTAACAATATATGTAAATGTTTTAAGATATGTTTATGTTGTGAATGTCTTTAGATTGTATCTTATTTTTGGTTTTAGTTTTGTTAATTTTATAAGAGAATCTTGATTAAAATACTTTTATTTTTTCACAGTCTGGTAATGCCAGACAGAATTCTCATTCGCTGCAGCCAAATGTCCTTGCAGATCAGAAAATCAAGGAAAAAAACAATTATCCCGCTCAGCTCCTCAATGGAATCGCTTTAACATGCTAATGCGTTGGCGTAACACTCTGTGTCT